GCTTGTTGGGTCCCTGCTGGAGGAGCAGTGGCCTGACGGGGCCGCGGATCACACTCTATGGCCACCCCGAGCTGAGAGCCCGCGCCTTGGCTCCGTCTCTGCAGCCAGCTTCCCCGCTCCGATACCCGGGAGCTCTGCAGCACTCAGGCACCCCCGGTCTCTCTGTGACCCCGAGGGTCCTGAGACCACACTGGCCCATGAGGGTTCCACCTCCCGCTTAGCCACTGGAGCGACGACCCTCAGCGGAGCCGACTTCTAAAAGTTCCGATTTTGTGCTCCGCGGCTCTATCACTTGCCAGAAGCGGCCGACGGAGGCCCCCTCCCCCGCCGTCTATCCTCCCGAATATCGCCTCGGATTCACTTCTCCGCACGTCCTACCTTCCAGAAAGTGGTCGCTTTTCTGTTCAGAGAGTTGATACTATTCTTATCTTCGATCTCCTGTTGAGTTCGTAGGTGTTCAGAATGGTTTGATCCCTATTCAGCTGAATTCCTGAGACCAGACGAAACCCAGGTCTCCTACTCCGCCATCTTGCTCCTGGACTTGATTTTTATATCAGGCGAGGGAGAGAGCAATATTTTGTTTTTCCTAGGGGTGTGTGGGTGGCTCGGTTGGTTGAGTGTCTGACTCTTGGTTTTGGCTCAGGTCATGATCTCAGGGTTGTGAGATCAAGCTCCACGCCAGGCTTCTCACTCAGTGAGAAGTCTGCTTGAGATTGGCTCTCTCCCTCTCTCTCTGCCCATCCCCCTGCTCAAGCTGTCTCTCTCTCTCAAAAATAAATAAATAAATCTTTTTTAAAAAGATATTTTTTCTTCCAAAAGTTGGATATACAAATTGGATATCCAAATGTCCAGTCCCATTTATTGAAATGCTTATCCTTTCCCTGCTGCACTGCAGTGTAAATATCCAGGGTAGCCAATCATGTGATTGGAGTGTTGAAACTTTCAATTTTATCACTGCTGCCCACCCCCCACCACCTGTGGAGAGGGGCAATCACCAGTGGCCAGTGATTTAATCAATCATGCCTATGTAAAGAGGCTTCAATAAAAACCTAAAAGGATGGAGTTCAGAGAGCTTCTGGGTTGGTGACATGGAGATTTGGAGAGAGTGGTGTATGCAGAGAGGGCATAGAAGCTCCATGCCCCTTCCCACATATCTTGTCCTATGCATCCCTTTTGTCTGGTTGTTCCTGAAAAATAACCAATAATCTAGTAAGTAAAATGTTTCTCTGAGTTCCATAAGCTATTTTAGCAAATAATCCATCCCAAGGAGGCAACTGTTGGAACTTCCAACTGGCTGGTCAGTCAGAAGCACAGGTGACAACTTGGACTTGCAATTGGTGTCTGAAGCGGGGGGAGGGCAGTCTTATGGTACTGAACCCTTAAGCTGTGAGATTTGATGCTATCTCCAGGTAGATAGTGTCAGAATTGATTTGAATTGTAGGATACCCAGCTGGTATCAGAGAATTGCTTGGTGGTGTTGAAAAAACACACACATCAAAATTGCTGTCAGAATTGTAGAACCTGAGTAGAATTTGGGTCTCATAACTACATTCTCCCCCTTTTCTACTTCCCCCACCACTCCTATCATGAGCATGTGTTGATATGCTTGAGAGTTTTGTTTTGAGGGGATGGAGAAGAGATGAGAGGTAGGGAACTACAGAAATAAAGGACAGGATGGACTTTTCCAAGGACAGTCTGATTTCTCTCAGAGAGAAGGAGTGCAGGAAAAAGGCAAGAGAAATAGTATTGTTTTGAGGCCCAAAGGACAAAAATCTCCCCAGAGCAAAAGAGAGGGATTTCTTGCCATTTCTGCTTGGACATCAGTGGTTGTGTCCAGAGAGACTGTGGGTCAAAAGTGAAGCAGTGGGGGATGTGCCCAGCAGAGCATCAGGTAAGGGGTGGCCTCACCCAGGACATATGCAGTGGATTAGTGCAAATTGTCTTCTATAAATGGCTTGCAGGCAGAAGGCTCATTAGAGAAATTCAGAGTTCAGAGACTATAAGTGATGTGTGCTGGAGAACATAACAGACCCCATTAGGCCATAACTGGGAATGTCTGGATAAGGCTGGGACTGTGGCCCTGTGTCAGGCAAGTTGAAGGATTTGATTTTGCAAACTTTTAGTATTAGTGTTAGTGACATTATTTAATGCCAAGTCTCCTGTTGTTTGGTGGACATTGGGTTACGCATACATTTCTTTTCTTCATCACAGATATATGAGCTCATTCTGAGTTGGTGTTATGTACTAAACTCTCCTGTATCCCCCATAGGATAATGCCTTGCACATGGTGAAGGAAATTCCCAGTCTCTACTTTAATGCCCTTTCCAAACATACATCATGTCAACCTCTGGAAGGCTTTTCCTAGGAGCAGTCTTCCCAGAGCCCCATGCATGTCCTTATTCCTCAGGCTGTAGATGAAAGGGTTCATCATGGGGGTCACCACAGCATACATCACTGTGGCTACTGAGTCCTTCGTGGAGTACGTTTGGAGGGGCTGCAGATATACCATACAAAGTGTCCCATAGAAGAGGGAGACCACAGCCAAATGGGAGGAACATGTAGAGAAGGCTTTATACTTGCTAGAGGCTGAGGGTATTCGGAGGATGGCTCTGACGATGCAGACATAGGACATGATCATGAACCCTAGTGGGGCGAGGAAGATGAAGGACCCTGTAGCAATCAGCACTGTGTGATTGACTTGGATGTTGGAACATGAAAGCCTCAGCAGGACGTACATCTCACAGAAGATGTAGTGGATCTTCCGGGAACCACAGAATGTCACCCTGGTCATAAGGAGGGTATGGGTGAGGCCATAGAGGACAGAAAGTGCCCAACACAAGGTGAGGAGCAAAACACAGAGCCCAGGGCTCATGGCCGTGGTGTAGTGGAGGGGGCGGCAGATGGCCACATAGCGATCATATGCCATTGTGGCCAGGATGAGGTTGTCCAGGGCCACCAAGGAGACCAGGAAGTAGAGCTGTGTTAGACACCCCACATAGGAGATGGCTTGTTCTGAGACTGAAGGCTCACCAGCATCTTGGGGATTGTATTGGTGACAAAGAAGAGGTCTGTGAAGGAGAGGTTGGCCAGGAAGAAGTACATGGGAGTGTGCAGGTGGGGATCAAATCTGATGGCCAGGATGATGAGCACATTTCCCACCACTGTGACCAGGTACATGGACAGGAACATCCAGAACAGAACCTGCTGCTGCTCAGGACTCTCTGAGAGCCCTAGGAGCAGGAACTCAGAGACTCCACTGTGATTGCTTCCATCCATTTCCCCAACTGTCTGCAACATAGGACCAAGAAATGTTTATTAAATGCCCTCAATTGAATAAGGACATTCAAATAAGCAAAATCAACTATTTTCTTAGCATTAAAAATATCTTAGGCTAAAGATGTCCATCGACAGATGAATGGATAAAGAAGATGTGGTATATATACACAATGGAATATTACGCAGCCATCAAAAGGAATGAGATCTTGCCATTTGCAACGACGTGGATGGAACTGGAGGGTGTTATGCTGAGTGAAATAAGTCAATCAGAGAAAGACATGTATCATATGACCTCACTGATATGAGGAATTCTTAATCTCAGGAAACAAACTGAGGGTTGCTGGAGTGGTGGGGGGTGGGAGGGATTGGGTGGCTGGGTGATAGACATCGGGCAGGGTATGTGCTGTGGTGAGCACTGTGAATTGTACAAGACTGAGGAATCGCGGATCTGTACTTCTGAAACAAATAATGCAATATATGTTAAGAAAGGGAAGAGGAGGAAGAGAGCAGGAGGGGAAGAGTGAAGGGGAGTAGGTCGGAGGGGGAGACGAACCATTGGAGATGATGGACTCTGAAAAACAAACTGAGGGTTCTAGAGGGGAGGGGGGTCGGGGGATGGGTTAGCCTGGTGATGGGTATTAGAGAGGGCACGTTCTGTGTGGAGCACTGGGTGTTATGCACAAACAATGAATCATGGAACACTGCATCAAAAACTAATGATGTAATGTATGGTGGTTAACAATAAAAAAATTATTAAAAAAAAAAAATATCTTAGGCTAAATTTTATAATTTTTTTAGATATAAGACAATGTAATAACATATAAAAGCATAACATGGAAAATTTTTATGCAACTCAGTCATTCCAGCAACTTCTAATCTGGCATACTCAATATTACAGGAATAATGTCTATGTCTTATTTAAAATATCATCTTAAATTTTCTTGAAATGCTTAAAGATTAGTATGGTATATTATGATATTGTATAGATCTAAGTGATATTTAAAACAAGTGTATGCAGTGTAAGAAATTGATCTGATACAATTGGACAAAGGGGAAAGTAAAAATATTGGAAAGGAAATGGAAAAATTATTATTTGCTGAGAGGATGATCTATTTGGACAACCTAAAACAACTGACTGAAATGACATTAGAAATAAAAAGGAATTTGAAAACACTTCAAATCTGAGCTCTGACACTTTGTATCTGTTAACCCCCCAGCCAGTTACCTGAGATTTTTAAGACTCCATTTCTTTATGTGAAAAATGGGTCAGGGTGAGGATAAAATGAAGTAATAAAGAGCAGGCCTGCAGTAAGTACTCAAGAAATATTTATTGTTACTATTGTTGTTATTATTATTATATGTAAGCAATAATAAAGAATATCAAGTTTAAAATATAATGTGAAAGGGGTGTCTGGCTTGCTCAGTCAGAAGCACATGTGATTTGATCTCGGGGTCATGAATTTGAGCCCCACGTTGGGTGTAGAGATTACTTAAATTAAAAAAAATTATACATATTATACATATATATAATACATATATATATTATATATAATATGAAACAATGTCATCCACACCATCAACAAACAAATCTATGCATTAAAATGTTAATATTCAGGCAGGATCTTCAAATTTCTTCAGAGAAGCGTACAGTGGAAACTTAGTAAGTGGAAAAACATGCCAAGATTCCAAAGGTGTATATTCTACTGAATTAATCTAAAATTTAAACTATTTGAAGTAAAACTTTGAACAGGGTTTTTAAGAAAACGTTGGTTTAACTTCAAAATAATTGTGAAAATAAGCTAGAAAAATGTTGAAAAAAGAGAACAGGGGACACTTCCTCTGCCAGATATAAAGGGCTGTAAAACTGTGTGGTACTGGTGCTAGAACGAACAGATCAAACAGAAAGAAACTTCAGATACAGAACAAAGAACATGTAGGATTCAGTTTATTATTACTGCAGCACTTTTATTGGGAGAAAACTGTTGTATTATTCAATAAATGGCATTGAGACAATTGTCTCATTATTTTGGGGGGAATATGATATCCATATTTTGTTTCTTACCAAACACATCTCAGACATTCCAAAGATTAAAATAATGTGTCTTTTTTCCTTTCAAAAACCTAAAATAAAAGAAATAAAAATCTTAAAAATAAAAGAACAAAAAGGAGGGCATATAAATAAGTTATATTGAATTCCACTCTGTGGAGATAAATAACAATGGTGCACATTTTGATGTTTGTATTATTTGAGATGTGAAGGATAAAGAAGACCAGGCTATGAAGTCTGGATCAGAGAACATTACAGAAAATTACATGTGCAAAGGACCTGAGCTGGACCTTCGTTGTATGTAAAGAGTTATATATGCATCAGTACGGTCAGAGTGAGGAAGAGAATGGTGAGATGAAGGTAAGCAGGGGTCAGGTCATGCAGAGCCTAGTTAGGATTTTAAATTTTTATTCCAAGTACAGTAAAAAGCCTTAAAAATTTTAAGCAGAAGAGGATATATTTATTTAGCAACTATTCTTCTATTTGTATTTTACCAATAGTGTTTCAATAATTAGCTATGGATTTTCATTTTTAATCAAATGCTTTTTCAGTGCCTGTTACACTGATAGCTTTGGTAATATTGAAGTGCACTTGCATTTAAGTTTACTTAAATTTAAATTGAAAGAAAGCAAACATCATCACAAATTCTGCCTTGCAACCAACTGTAATGTTTTGGTGAACATACTTTCAGCATTTTTGTTACATTACCTTAGGCACTCAACAATGTAATGGGTAACTTTCTTCAAGACAATATTGTCATTCATTATATACTTTTCTTCTCAAATAACTTTACATTGCTGTCTGCGTGATTTTTTCTTTAATCTTAAAATTGTAATTTACTAAGTTTTGTTCAGTAATTACACTGAATTCCACTGTGTGGAGATAGATAACTATTCACATTTTGATATTTTTATTATTTGAGATGTGAAGGATGTTTCTCCTTCACTTATTTATCTGACTTACAATGTCCTTTCCAATCTTAAAATTATGTCTCCATTTTATGAGAATCTTCTTTCATTCTTTCCTTATTGTTCTGGTTACATTTCTGGGAATTTATACTATAACTATACATTAACTATAAATTAACATTTCCTTTTGGTAACACTACTCCATTTTCTCTAAAAAACTAATAGTAAGGTGGAGCAACATGGCAGAGGAGTAGGAGACCTGGATTTCGTCTGGTCTCAGGAATTAAGCTGAATGGGGATCAAACCATTCTGAACACCTACGAACTCAACAGGAGATCGAAGAAGAGAGTAGCAACAATTCTCTGAACAGAGAAGCGACCAATTACTGGAAGGTAGGACGTGCGGAGAAGTGAATCCGAAGCGATATTTGGGAGGATAGATGGCGGGGGAGGGGGCCTCCGTTGGCTGCTTCTGGCAAGTGATAGAACAGCGGAGCACAAAATCGGAACTTTTAGAAGTCAGCTCCACTGAGGGACATCGCTCCAGTGGCTAAGCGGGAGGTGGAACCCTTGCGGGACAGTGTCGTCTCAGGACCCTCAGGGTCACAGGAAGACCGGGGGTGCCTGAGTGCGGCAGAGCTCCCAGGTATCGGAGCGGGGAAGCCGGCCGCAGAGACGGAGCCGAGGCGCGGGCTCTCAGCTCGGGGTTGCCATAAACTGTGATCCGCGGCACATTCGGGCCACTGCTCCTCCAGCAGGGACCCAACAAGCGGCAGACCTGGGAGACTCCCCTTCCTCCCCTGGAAGGAGCGGCGCAGGAGCACACCGCAGGGATCTGCTGGGTTTGGAGACTCCACACGGGGTCGGGTGCCAGAGATAGAAACGCTCGGTCAGGGGCCGGGTGAGCACAGAGTGCGACCGGAGAAGGGGGAGACGGGAGTGATTGACTGCTTTTCTCTAGGGGCGCACTGAGGAGCGGGGAACTGAGTTTTTGACTCCTCCGGGCAGAGATTGGGAGGCCACCATTTTCACTCTCATCCTCCAAAACTGTACCAAGAGCTTGCAGGGAACAAAAACTTCCGGGGGCAAACACGAGCAGATTGCTTAGCCTGGACTGACAAGGGCGGGGCAATTCCGCCTCCCGCAAAGACATTTGAGAACCATGGCAACAAGCCCCTCCCCCAGAAGATCAGCATGAACAGCCAGCCAAGACCAATGAGAACGGGAGAACTCCAGCGCTAGGGGAATACTGCAAATAGAATTCATGGCTTTTTTACCATGATTCATTAGTTTTTCAAAGTTAATTTTTTTAACTGTGGTTTTTTTTTTTTTTGAATTTTTCTTTTTCCCTTTTTCAACCAACATCTTATCAATCCCTTTTTTAAAAAAACATTTTTATTTTTCATTTTTAGAGTGATATTCTATCCCTTCATAGTAGTTACCCTTATTTTTGGCATATATGTATGTTTTATTCTCTCTTTAAAATTTTGAGATACAGTTTCTTCTAACAGATCAAACTATACCCTAAATCTCTACTGTATGGCTTTGTTCTAGTCTCCTGCCTGATCACATTCCCTCCCTTTTTTTAAAAAAAAAATCTTCTTCTTTCTTTTTTCAAACAACTTCTTATCTTATCAATTCCTTTTATAAAATCCTTTATAATTTTCATTTTTACATTCATCTTCCATCCCTTCATGGTATCAACCCTTATTTTGTATAAGTCTTTCATTTCTTACAATTTTAAGAGGCACTTTCTTCTAACACACCAAAACACACCCAAAATCTAGTGTGTGGCACTGATCTATGCACTAGCCTGATCATATTAGATCATATTCTGTTTTATTTTGTTTTGTTCTGTTTTTGTTTATTTTTATCTTTATCTTTTTTTCTTTTTTTCCTCTTTCTTTTTTCTTTCTTTCCCTCTCTTTTCCCCTGGTTTCAGGTCTTTTCTGATTTGTTTGGAGTATATTCCTGGGGACGTTGTTAACCTGTTAGCATTTTGTTCTCTCATTCATCTATTCTCCTCTGGACAAAAGACGAAAAAAA